AAAAATATTTTATTTTACCACATAATTTTTTGATCATCTAACTGAAGGACTAAATAGAATTTCATTTGCTGTACCCAGTCATCACCCCTATTAAATTAGTGGAGCTCGATGGTGCAAATGATTGCCACGTCCGGCCAGTGTTGCCAGGTCTCCAGATTTTACAGGAGATCTCCTGTTTTTCTGAAATTTCTCCTGTTCTACTGTTTTTCTACATGAATCTCCTGTTTTTTTAGAAAACGATTTTCTTTTTTAAATTGCATGTTGAGTTGCATTTTTCGTCATTAAGAATGTAGATAACCTTAATAATTATAAAATAAATGTAATTGTCTAAAGAAAAAATAGCTTTGAGGGGCGGCAGAAGCCACAGAAACACATTCGTTACTGATCTTTATCTTGATTTGATTTACCATTTCTAGAGGGGGGGGGGGGGGGGGGGGGTGCAAACCGGAAAAAGTACACCCCTGCATCTACTGTTTTTCTTGTAGCTGTTTCCATACATCTACTGTTTTTACCTGTAACGCCTCCCGATTTTTAAAAATCGGACCTGGCAACACTGCGTTCGGCATGTTACATAATAATATCTACACCTGTAATAGTACCTATAACTAAACTACTAACCCAATTAGAAGTTCATAATACCTATTGTACACTAACCTTTAGACTCGTAACATAAGCATTCTAATAGTTATTGTCAATCATATCTTTTGTATACTTTAGACTGATAAGCCTCCCTTATCTCATTAGTAAATACTCCTCTAAATAAATGATCCCACCAAAAACATTCTGTAAAAAACTAGCCAAGTCTCGATGGAGTTGCTTGTTTATCTCTAAAAAGTAATGAAATGTAGACAAACTCGTGCCAAGTCTAAGGTTCCTTACTGCGATTTCTTTATTATTATAATTAATGTTGTGTGACTTGGCCGTTGAAGGGTACACAAGGGTACAAAACCAGGTGCTACATGACACCATTGCACCAATCTGTCGCCAGAACCGCTACCCATTGACGATGGAAAATTGCCACTTGGAGAACGTTGATTGAATAACCAGTTAATTGTAGGCTTGATAAAGTTGCGTTTACACGTAATGTTGCATGTATGAATGCATCGGTGCAACAAATATGGGATGTACTAAATGCGAAACTTTGCTTTCGCATAACTTCGGAACTAAATGACCTACAGACTTAAAATTTTGGATTTTAAATATGTTATTATAGCTTACTGGACGGCGAAAATTTCAGCGTACTGGTCTTATCCAGAGGTTCTCAAATAGGGTCCTGAAAATGCAGCGAAATGGTTCCAGTAAAGGATAGTACGGCAGTGTTTGCTTCGCGCTCGACTTGGCGGGGGCACTGCCGTGCCCTCCGGTTATATCCCACATTGTATCGCACGCTGCCCCTTCCACATCCAATCGTATGAGTGCTCTTCCTCCACTAAGCTAAGACAATTCTATTTCTGACTACGTTCGTACAACACATCGTTATTCTGTTTCTTGTAATTTCCATTTCTTAAATAAGTATTTAGTTTTAGTTGTAATTAAAGTATAATTCTTTTTGAAAAGCTCGATGGCGCAGGTGGTTAGCGCGTTCAGCTGCGATCGTTGTAGTTAAGCAACTTTGGCAGTGGTTGGTCTTTGGATGGGTGACCAAAATTTTCTATCTCGAGTTCCTCCGTGCTTCGGAAGGCACGTTAAGCCGTTGGTCCCGGTTGCATCTGCAGTCGTTAGCACCCGCCAATCCGCACTGGGCCCGCGTGGTGGGTCATGGCCTGATCTCCAAATTCCATCCATAGGGAAGGCCTGTGCCCCAGCAGTGGGGACATTAAAAGGCTGATAATGATGATGTTTTTAAAAAAGACTTTTGTTCCATCGCCACGTAGCAAGCATCTATTGCAGTGGATGTTGTCCAGTTGGATGGGTGACCAAAAATTTATTATGTCGAGCTCCTACGTGCTTCGGAAGGCACTTTACGCCGTTGATCCCGACTGCATCTGCAGTTGTTACCATCCACCAATCCACGCTGGGCCTCGTAGAGAGTCAGGGCCCAACCTCCCTAGAGGGAGCTACACGGGCACGCCCAAGTAGCCCTCCGCAGCGGACGAGGGGTGGTGCGGTGGGCACTAGGCCGCGTACTCAGCCCCCACGCGCGGGCCATCCTGCGCACGTCTGCGGGGTCCCCGCGATACCCCGGGAGACCCCTGCCGCGGAGCCCCGGCTAGGCCGGGAGGCTGCTAGGTGCGGAGACGTGGAAGAATCCCTAAACGGGGATCCCGCGGCTCCGCGCTAAGCAGCTTAGAGGGTATTCGCAGGACTTTTTTAGCGGATATTATGCCGTAAAGCGCCTGTAAGAGTTGCCACTGGGGGCTCCGTAAGACTTGCGGGAGCCAGGTGTGAGGTCCGTTCGACGGTGTGCCTCGTAAAGGCGCCGTCGTCTGTAAATAGCATTTTTACCTGCGTTATAAAAAAAAGAAAAATAGGGCCCAACCTCCCTATTCCATCTATATAGGGTAGGCCTGTGACTTTAATAGGCTGACGATTATGAAACCTAATTTTTTAAATACTGAGTAGAGAAAAATAAACTAGATTTATTTTTTCCATAATTAAGTTTCATTGACTTTGTATGATCATCCCCTTCTTGTTTTTTTAGCTATAAGGTTTTCTCCACCATTTATTTTCAATCGCATCCATCAATTCCTTAATCTCAAATGTATTAGGTACTGACAGTCAATGCATAACAATGAACTATCTGTTTACAAGCTGTTTATGTTCAAATTATTATTAAAATCCATCAATCGAAGTTATCGCTTTTAGGGTTCCGTAGCCAAATTGCAAAGAACGGAACCCTTATGGATTCGTCATGTGAGTCTGCCTGTTATGTCTATAAGAAGTATAGTGTTGAAACTTGGTAAGTCGATGTACAGCAAACTTCCAGCGAAAATTGGTTTGTACGAGATTTAGTTGGTAGTTTTTTTTTAATACGTCATAAATCGTAAGCCGCAATTTACTTTTGATTCAATAAATTTTTGATGACCGGTTTTATTATAGCTATTAACGGGATTGTTACCATGTGCCTTGTTTTTTTATGAGTCTTCGATATTTCGGCACTGTTGCAAGCGCCATGATCACGGAGTAACTGAAATTATTGCGGGTAGATGTTATCGGCAGACATATCGGTCTACCCTCTAACGTCGTCTTTTACTGTGCTCGATACCCCTACCACTGGTCACATTCTCACTATACTCTCGCACCTTGCTTAGTGTATTAATAGCTATAATGTTAGTGACCATGAGAGTTTAAAACAATATAAAACATGTTTTAATTACAAAAATGCGATTTGTACTTTTTAACTGACAACTGTTTTAACTGAAATGTTCTACTGTCTGCGCTTACCCACGTGTCGATATGCCATTTCTTTTTATCAAAAACACAATGTCACGGTTGTATTAAGTAAGCTTCGGTTACGTCCAAAAGTATTAAAAGCCTTAATTTTTACTAATCTGCTACGAAAACTCCTTAAGCGATTTAAGGACCCCCCCTCGAGGTACTAGTTAACGCACAAAAATATTAAGTGCACTTACGACATAAAAAAGCGTTTATATTATGATTACAAGTTGTCGAACTATCAAATGTCAAGGCCACTGTTCACGCAGAGTTATCAGACATTTTATAATTAGTTTTAAAGGTTACATCAAAAGGGTGAGTTGACGAAAAGTTTTAGGAATCGCTTATAAATATCAATGATATTATACCGACATAAGGCTTAGCTCACAACAGTACAGTATTTGTAATATCGTTGAGTATTTGATATAAATTTCAATTTGATACCACCACGCGTTTCTCAGAAAAAGGATCTTGACAGACGGACGGACGGACAACAAAGTGATCCTACAAGTGTCCATTTTTTTCTTTCGAGGTACGGACCCCTAAAAAATATGTCATGAACGTGTTTTTGGTGCGCGCCCCCTTTAACCTTTTTGTGTTATTATTGTGTACCTTTTTGTAAATAAACGTCTTTAGACCGATATAATTATGATTGATCTTCACATATGTACAGGTAACTTTATTTAATCATATTTTTTTGTTGTAAAGTCCTTATCCACTAAGGAAGATCCTCCTAGAGAATGACTACGAATTTATTGTATGGAATTTGTATGGAAATAATCAAATAGATGCAACAATAACAACATACCAAATAAAGAGAAGTTTTCCCGTCTGATGAAGTAACCTACTTACCTTACAGAAGATTACAGTAAAATAACACTTATCTTTTGGTGACGTTGTTTTTCTGCCGGTTAAGGATCCAGGACTCCACGGGGTAGAGGATTGGATCAAGGTCCACGAATCCAAATGTCCAAAGCAGTGATGACTAAACTCACTAGGATATGGAAAGACCGCAACATATCTCGCAAAACCAAAGCGAGGCTGGTACGCACGTTGGTCTTCTCGATTTTCTTTTATGGCGCTGAATCCTGGACCATAAGACAGAGCGAAAGGCCAAGGATCGACGCTTTTGAGATGTGGTGTTGGAGACGGATGTTAAGAATTCCATGGACTACACGCCCGACCAACGTGTCCATACTTGAGGAAGTCGGCATCACCACAAGGTTGTCCACTATCTGTTACAGCGCATACTCAAGTATTTCGGACACATCGCTCGCAGAAACCCTGACAGCCTAGAGAAGCTGATGGTGGTTGGCCAGGTCGACGGGAGAAGATCACGCGATCTGTCACCTACCCGCTGGTCAGACCTAGTAAAGTCGATCACTGGCCTATCAATAACCAAGGCTATAAAGACCGCGGAAGACAGGAATACGTGGAGAAGTATAGAACTTCAGGTGGTCGACATTTCAAGTTAGACACGAACTTTAGCAATGAAGGTATCGACTAAGAATCCTAAAAGTATCCTTCACTTTTGGTATCGTAACCGTCTTTAGGCTATGGTGCCTGCTTACCATCAGGCGTGCCATACATTTGTTTGCCATGCTTTTAACATGAAAAAGAAATACCTGTTTAGCATTTTGGCTCAGGAGCCACATGAGTAAGGCCCGCGGGACGCCGTACTTGTGTACCCGTTTCGTGATGTACCTGGTGCCGCACAGCTCGCACCTGGACTTTCCAGATTCCGTGAGCCATCTCTCTAGGCATTTGATGTGCACTCTCCCGACAGTTCCTCGACAGGAGCATGCTTGTATCAATCAGAGAAAACAATTTATGTATTTTATAGATTTTATATCTTCTAACATAATAATTAAATTTTAAATTAATTATGTAAATCACGAGTACCATGGCTGATTGTCCATTTGTCACACAAAACAGCTACAGGACAAAAGATATTGCTAAAAAATAAACCGGACAGAAATGAAATCTCTGATTTTTAGTTCTAAAATATTGTAACGAATGCGGTATTGAAATTGGTGATTATGTGTGTTAAATTGCTAGTTTTCAATTGCGGGTAATTTTTTTAATCACCGACAAAGAAACTTGATGAAATAAAATATATTTTTATTGGAACAAAGCCTATTTCTTAAATTTTTCTTGTTCTTATGAAATCGGTTTTTATATACAGTGGATATTATTGTAAAATTAGAAGTTTTTTGTTAAGTATATCATACTAAAAATCTGACACATTCAGTTTCTATCGGGCTTAGGTTTTTTATCATAGAAAATTACCATTGTCTTTTGTGAATAAGCACGAGCTGATGATGGTGACATAGTTATCAAGATCAAGATAATTGCGGACTATTGAATTTTAAGTCTTTAAAGAATTGCTAATTTTTAAGTAATCTGTATCATCAACGTTTGTATTAGACCCAATCGCGGATTTAATGCGTTAATATAATACTTTTTGAACGTTTCTCATTTCAGGCTGCGTCTTCAGAATTATGCTACTTGCTTTGTCGAACTACCTTCGTAAGACTTTTAATTGAAAAAAGTAATAAATGAACGCTTTAAACCGTCTAAGCGTGTTTTATTTAATGAGTGGTGTGCGTGAAAACCAATGAAACAAATATTATGTCAATGATAATGTTCCCCGAAAAAGCTTCCGAGTAAGTCCGGTATTTACCTGATATTAGCTGACCTAGTTCGTTGGACAACGCCTCCCCACTATGACATATCCTACACATGTCATCCAACGAATGATCGCTGACTCTGCTTGGCTCATCTTCATTAGTTACAATAACTAAATTGGTCACGTGCTCTACTTCTACCTCTTGATCCCAATCAATAGGAGCAATCTCAACAGAGCGCTGCTCCCGTTTATCATGTTTTTGGTCCAAAATTGGAGGTCTACGCCTGGGACTCCTTACTTTGATTCTATGCGGTCGGGGAACTTTATCTCTTCTTTGAATGTTATCTTTGTTCGCTATTCTCGTGTCTTTAGATTTTGGTGGTGCTTCTTTGGGACAAATTGCATCATTAGATTGGTCTGTAGGAGTACATTCTTCGTTGAGCAGATTCAAAAGGTCAATGGTGCTGGAACTGGCAGCCACGTTTTTATCTACTGTCGTCGAACTAAGTTTTCCGGTCGACGTGCAACTTTCAGTGTCAGTTACAATTTTCAAGTTACTTGAAATTCTTGAACCGTTTGCAATCATTTTGTGTTTTGATCTAGATGATCTTGCTGACATCGAATTGTTCGTAATTAGTTTAGACTCGTCGATATCTTGATAGCTAAAACAGTAGCTAAAATATTTATTTTAATTACATACGAACACGGTACCGACGCTTTATTAGTTCTATCAAATATCCAGTTTCCAATATTTAATAACAAAGTTCATTATATTAGCAATACACTCAGGAAACGATATTGAAATATTAAATATTCGCAGTCTCATATTAATTACCTAGTTTCACATTAGATTTTAATGAATAATGGATGAAATAACTGAAAATACTTGTGTAGATACAATTAATTGTTCATAACAGGACAGCCATTATTTATCTAACGCTGTATAATATAAGACATTTATTAATTAACAAGAAAAAATATGCTTTTAATTATTCAGTATTAAAACCAAATTGTTTCAGTTTAAGATGTACTGGAAGAAATTTGACAAGCCTGTTAAAGTTCCAGCCTAATACTTAGGCCGGGGATTATTTCGTAAAACTTTATTATTCTATAAACATCACAAAAACTAACTTTATATTGAAAACAGTTCTATCTGTGCAGTGTGATGATATAAAAGTTAATTAAGTCGGTCACTTATCGCCCACAATAGGTTCTCAAGTTATGAAATTTAAATTAATGACATGCTGCATGCAATTTAATGCAATTATTGGTAAAACTGTACTTCCAGGGCCCAAAAGGTGATACTTGTTTTTTTTTGTAGAAAAGGTCTTTTTAACAGTTTTTTTTTCTGGCGCTTCGCCGGCCGCTGCCGCGGCACGCTCGCTTTGCTCGCTCGGCTCGCGCGTCACAACACTAACCTAACCTAACCTAGTGTGAAGTATCACCACTTGATAAGAAAAGTAAAAATTTTCAATATTTTTTTCTAAAAAACTACCAGTGCATAAGTGTGACATTTTTTTTAATAATGTGGTTAACAGAAACCTTTTGAACAACAAAAATGCGAAATTACAACCAACAAAACTGTGAAGTTTTTACTTTTGGGCCCTGGAAGTACAGTATATCCCAATTATTTTTACTATTATTTAATTTTTAATGGAATTGGATCTAATGATGACCAGTGTCCGTGAAACAGTGAGACATGAATAAAGGGTCTCACAGACAGAGGCGGCCTGGGGGCACGGTCAGTTCTTATTGGTCGCTCGTGTGAACACTAGGCCGCAGGCCGTCTCTATCTGTGAGACACTTAAATTAGAATTCAATTTATTAATGCTTGAGTGATTTGCCCGGCCGGTTACCTGCCATGAAAATTATTTTGCATTTTCGAAGAATCCCTGCTGCCGATGTCATTTTGAACTGAAAACCTTCGTCGTCTCGTGTTTGGCATTTCACAAGAATTTATCTCTTTTTTTTGGAATTTCTATTTAGTTTATTGGTGCGCTAGAAAATAAATCTTATAAAAAAATCGTTCATTTTTGACATATTGACAAGTGATGGCTTCTTCTGTCATCTTATTATTGATGAGTATGACGTTTGGCAGGCAAGAAAAAGGTTAATCGATTTTTGTTCTATAAGAGGTGTTTATCTCGATGGCTTACTGATTTTATTTGGAAAATATTTAAAAATAGTAAATTATCAACTAAAAATACAATTATTAACCTTAGGGTTAGTTTAGTTTACCAATTGAAAATTTTTTTGAGGATTAATATTACATTTATTTAGCATGAGTTAATAATAATTTGATATCAATTTGGTGTTGATTTAGTACATATATGATAATTATCAAGCTTAGAACCTTATACTTTTTCTTTTATATGTAATACGCACTAAACATAGGAAAGCCAAAAGACACTGGGCTTATTTTTCACGTTAACTGCATTATGGAAGAAGTGGTACTCCGCAAATCTTACCAAATAATTTGGTTTTATTCTGATAATTTTCTAAGAATATTACAGAAAGTATGTGAATTCAGTCGATTAGCTAAAATATCTCGTGAGATATTTAACCCGCCATGAATTTTCCCATGGGAGCTAAGCTTCAAAAAGGAAAAATATATGGAATTCGGATAATCGACTGGAAACGCAAAATTACAGTTACAAAAACTCTCTAAATTTTTAGTAACGATATTCTTGAGAAGTTATAATTTTATACATAAATAAGGAAATATACGGAAGCCAGTGACATGCATGAATGTTGCTGTGCCGTAACGTAAATTAAAAGTTGTGTTGATTTGCTTGGAATTGCATGAAACGTAGATGTTATTAGATTTCTTCGGTTACACGGAGTTCCATACAATATTGTAAGGTGCCTCTAGTACTGCAGAATAACGGCCCAAGTCGCCAGAGAATTTAGGTGTTTCTGAATAAAAATAAGGATCGTATGTCAAGATGTTCAGTTGCATACATGTTTTCTGAACTTCATCATCATCATCATCACAAGCCTATTAATATCCCCACTGCCGGGGCACAGGCCTTCCCTATGGATGGAATAGGGAGATTGGGCCATGACCCACCACGCGAGCCCAGTGCGGATTGGTGGGTGTTAACGACTGCAGATGCAGCCGGGACCAACGGCTTAACGTGCCTTCCGAAGCACGGAGGAGCTCGAGATATTAAATTTTTGGTCACCCATCCAATGACCGACCACTGCTTAGCTTCAACGAGCGCAGCCGAACGAACTTAATTTGATATAATACTAGCTGTGCCCCGTGGTGTTACCCTCGGTCTATTAGACTTACACATTCACAAACTTTCGCCTTTATAATAATAATAATAAATTTATTTATTGTCACATAAATTGATTACATACTTGTTTATAATGTAGTCCTTGACTCCTATAATATGATATAAACTTATATGTACTATCTCCCATAATCTAGGGTGGAACACGAAAAAAAATGTATTCATGTAATGCATAAGAAGCAAACGGGCTTTATGAGGATTTGAGCCTGGGGGTCGTAACACAGGTTTTGTAACCTAGTACAATCTCCAGCTCTCTCAAAGAACTGCATCGTTATTACTGTTTTGTCATTCAATACCCTTTAATTAATTATAATGTTACTATGTGACTTTGTGAGAGAAAATAAAAAATAAAATCATTCATTCAAAAATCATTCATTCATTCATTCGTTCATAATAGGATAAAGACCTGTGTGACAGGGGTCAGTGCCCACTTCCGAATACAAAGATCATAACTATATATATGTAACAAAACAGTTTTACAATAAGACATACATTATTGAAATAATTAAAGCAATCAGAATTCGATCATTCGATTCAGATCGTGTGTGTGTGTGTGTGTGTGTGTGTGTGTGTGTATGTGTGTGTGTTTTAGTGAATGTGCATGCAAGTCAAAAAGTAGGGAACTCAGTTTTACAGCAAAGATTCGGTATAATCATAGTCAAGGGTAAGTAACTATTTTCTTATTTTAGTTTTCGCCTCAATAGGTAATGGGTAAAAATCCATTATTTTATTTATTTCATTGTAAAGATACTTAGATAAATAAACAAACTGTCGCCTAGCAAAAGCTGTACGGAATCTTGGTAGATTACATACACTGACAATAGTGCGGTTGAATATTTAATTAGTGTCATGAGACTTTTGTCTGCGCTTAACTTCCGCAGTCTTTGTATTTCATTTAATTCCAGTAACAAGAACAAGAAACTAATGAAATAGCAAAGGATTGTAATTGACTTAAATAATACAAAACCTGTAAGCTAATTAGGTATTCTTGATTCTCATTGTCCCTTAAAAACTTTTATACCAATACCAATTCCAAGAAAAATGTTAAGGAAATCAGGAGTTATGACAGCCGGTTCAACTCGAAGTTAATTAAGGCTTTATAGTTCTGTTTCTGTGGCGACTAGGCTTGTTGAAAATATATCGATGTATCGATATATCGATATTTTTTGTTCGATATATTTTGATTCGATATATCGATACATCGATACAAAATAACCAATATCGAAATTCGTATCAAAAACGATATTTTTTTAATTATTAGCGGCATATCACGATCTGACTAAATTCGTATCTGGAAAAATCGTAACTGGGTCTCAGATTAATGATATTCAACATATCTATGATCTGTGCTGTATTTAGTATTGTCTATGATTTGTAAATCTGTTTCGCTGGTGAATTGGTTGTACTGAATTCCATTATATTTTGTGGAAGTGTGTGACTGTCTAGAGTTGTTTACGAAAGATGGCACCTGAGAGGCCCTGCAATCATTTTCATCATTCGAAAATAGGGTCTATTTTTAGGGAGATAATTTTCGTTCCATTATTATTCCGCGTGTCAGCTTTCGTGAGATACGGTACTGTCATGTAGTGTACTTTGTACTTTGATAATTCTTTCTTTAATTATAATTTGTATTGTTATTATTACTGTGCTAGGCTGACCTACATATATTTTTGGGAAAATTGGTCCGATATATCGATGTTCTTTTCGTGATATATCGAAGCCGAAATTGATATTTTTGAAAATATCGATGTAACGATATATCGATATTTTTTTCAACTTTCTACATCCCTAGTGGCGGCGCGTCCCAGATACGAGAAAGTTTCAACTGAATAATGGACGGAGCTCCTCTTTACGGTCTCATTAGAAGGGATGCTGCTCATTCTAGGCAAATCAGTATTTACAATCTTCGTGCTCTTCCTTGCTAGAAGTAATTACTGTTTATTGGCGTGCGCCTATGGGCGTAACAAGGAAAAACATTTCGCGATACTTCTGTACAAACTCCAAGGCATTTAACCTACTTTTTAAGGTTCCATAGCCAAATGACAAAAAACGGAACCCTTATGGATTCGTCATGTCTGTCTGTCTGTCCGTCCGAAACGTTTTTTTTTGAAACTATACTGTTGAAATTTGGTAAGTCTTGTAGATGTATTCTGTGAACCGCATTAAGATTTTCGCACAAAAATTGAAAAATTAACACAAATTTTGAGTTGCCCATACTTAGAACTGAAAGTCACAAAACATAAAATACGTGTGGGGTTTCTATGGATAGGTCTTCAAATTTTTTTCCAAACAGTACAGTTTGCGCTAGAGACATTTCCAAAGTGATAAAATGTGTGTCTCCCCCTATAACTTCGAAAATAAGAGAACGATGAAACAAAAAAAAAAAAATTATGATTTACATTTATTTCCATGCAAACTTCCACCGAAAATTGATTTGAACGAGATCTACTTCCCTTCCCACGGCCATGCGCATACGCCGCTAAACCCTTAAACGGCAGACCACCCACCGAGGCCCCCCGCGGGGTGGGAATGATTGCATTGCTTTGCCGATTTCTCTGTTATTTTGTAAGAATACCCTACACAAACTATATATATTTGGATTCTCCATAAAATTTACTATAAAACAGTGTCTAAACAATGCGTCATGTCTATAATCTATTTTAATTACGTTACGGTAAACTCGGGAAAGATAAAAAAAAGGCGTTTAGATGGGTAAAATGGAGTATATTTTCAAAATTTCAAAATTTTATTTCCAGATTTTTTGGTTATTTGCACATTCTATTATAACTTACCAAATAAACACATAAAATACTATACTCGCACAATTTAATTATACACTACAGCTCGTCACATTGCGCGCGCGCCGTATGTGTAAACAAACCGCGAAGTATAAACAGAGCTCGAATTTCAAGTGGGTCGATAAGGATTAAGCCGGGCGTTTGAATGGCTGTAATTTATTACCCCATTAGCTCCGAGTGTTAAGATAACATTAGAACCAAGATTGTTATGAATAACGTTTGTATATTTTTTAGGTTTAAGAACTTACAACGAGGCATTTAAAAATCGCCTACAAATCAGTCATCTCAGTATTATGTCTATAAATCGAAAAGTATTTTCAATTTTGATAAACAGATTTTTTTTATCAAAATGTACGCGAAATTTGCTTTAGAATAAACAAAAACTAATTACTAGTTCACATACAAGAAAATAATATAAAAAAATATTTCGTTCGTGTATTTGAATTTCGAACGACCGTTCCACCGCGCGGATTTTGTTTTTTTTTATTTCTTCAAAAATACGAACTCAAGAGATTCTTTGTATTCGAAGTATTAATCATGAATAATTTATTCAAATAATTAAAAATTAAAACATTACAATTATTATCGAAATTATCAAATGTAAACATAAGGTAAGTACCCCTAAGTTTTCGCTGATTTTTTTTCCGACCGCGTCTGCAAATAAAATCTAAAAAAAAAAATTCACGGAGACCCGCAAACAAAACATCAAAATAGAGTAACTAAATGTATTTAACTTAACCAGGCATGGTGTTTTTTTCTTTAAAACCACTCAAAAGCACTTAAAATAGTCTGAATACACGGCATATTGTTTTTCATACAAAAAACGGCGAACGACGAACTTTGACAGATAACAGTATAAATATTTCATATGGCAGTTGTCTTTATGAATGGCTAGATAGCTAGCCCGTTTTTTCCTCTAAAAATTTATATATGAATGAAGGCAGGATAGAAAAACGATGAAAG